GTAGAACAGGGTGGTCTAAGAGTTTGCCTTAGGCAAGTTTTATAGTAGACAGTTTTGTCCATAAAACTGTCTATTTTGATTGTTGATTTAATCTCAATATTCACTGTAATGTTAAAAATATTCTTGGAGTGAATTGTTTCTGTCTTTTAGAATGCCCACATATTTAATAGAGCCATGAAACAATTGGAGAACTTTCAGAGAACAAATGCACAACATGCTGTGTTGCAAAAGAATGTACTGTCTTGTTCACCGTCTCCATTTTTAGACTAGTCTGGCTGGTGGTGAAATGCAGAAGTGTTTGCCACACAGGTGCAGTGTTCTGCAGCTGTTGGAAACATTTGCCTTCCCTCTCCCCCGCCTCCTCCTCCACGCAGAGTTATGCTCTGTTTAAACCATTAATGCTAGAAGATGGGATTTGAGAATTTGAATGTCTGTTTACAAAAAGATACAATTAAGAGAGAGAATTGGTCATTTAGGCAGCTGAATTGAACTGCCTAGATAACTTGAACTTTCCAAAGACTAAAGCGTAGGTTTAAGGTCATGGAGTTATAAGAGACTACTATTGAAAGTGCATGTCTGCAGAGTTACTGCCCTCAAGATTGAACTTTTTGAGGATGGGGTTTCCATAATTTCGTTTTTTTAAATTTCCTGCAACTAGCATAATGCCTGGTACATGACAGGCACTTGATATATATTTGTGAATATCTTATGTTGGAAGATAAAGCCAAAATGTTGTTTAGATGTAGTATGGTACTTAATCACGAAATTATGATTTTTTTTTTTAAGAAAACGGATCCCTGTGGTAAGTTTTATAGCAGTCTTATGAAAAAGTGCCATGGCAGCAGAGAGAAGGAGTAATTAATGCCGCCTATGGTGGTATGGGGCACTTTATACTTTGATATATCATGGAAAGTCTTTTCCTGAACTACAGTTAGAAAACGTGCTTTTGAAGTTTTCCTCATCCAACACACAACATTGTGTTCTCCAACAGCAATGTCTTTTCCTCCTTATTCCTGTTTTGGGCATTTTTTCATGCATTACATCATAAGGAGATTAATGATTCCAAACCTGAAGGTTCTAGAGAAGAATGCTTTATTTTCTTTTCTGTAGTTTTTTCTATAATGAAAGGAGTGTAGGCTTTGGAGTTGGACATAGGTTTGAATTCCATCTTTTTGAAGCCCAGCTCTGAAAGCTGTTTACTTCAGGGAAGCACCTTAACCTCATCATACATCAGATTCTCTGTCCATGGCTCATTCTCTCTGCTCTCTTGACTTTCTATTCAAACACAATCTTAGTATGGCCTTCCCTGACCATCTTATTTAATATTGCTTCCCTCCCTCACATGTCAAGCACCATTCTTACTGTTTTATCTTTAAAGCACTAGAGAAGCATTGGACATACTATGCATTTAAAAAATATATTTGTTCATTATCTCTTCTAACCTCTCTAGAACATAAGCTCCCTGAGGGCAGGGATATTTTTTTATTTTAGTCACTACCATATTTCTAGTGCCTTGCACAAAAGTACTCTATAAATATTTGTTAAATGTTTTTCTTTCTGAGTTATAAAAGAACTTTGGTCACCACAGGCTTTTTTCCCATTAACTGCCACCAAGTGACCAAAACGGAGTCTTCCTGAGGAGAGCAGTCTATTTGGTCAATATTAAACATGCATTTTGTGAATATATTTATAGGTTGATATATTTCATTTCCCTCTTTTTATCTGGGAATTCATAATGGTTGATAACTTTTTTTTTTTAACATGTGTTCATTGATTTCAGAGATGAAGGGAGAGAGAGAGGAAACACCAATGATGACAGTCATTGATTAGTTGCCTCTTGCACGCCCCCTACTGGGGACAGAGCCCTCAACCTGGTTCTGTGCCCTGACCAGAAATCGAACAGTGATCTCCTGGATCCCAGGTCAACGCTTAACCACTGAGCCATGCAGACCAGACTGGTTGATAACTTTGATATTAGCCTGAGAGAATGAAAAAAAAAAATTACAGTTGACAGAAAGGATCAGTAAAACTAGTAACATTTTTTGGAATTGATGTGAGAGAGAGAGAAAGGCTTAGAGAAGGAGAGTGAGAGTCACCGTGTCTTATAAGTAAGTAGGAAAGTGTCACAAGATTAAAATTAGTTCCTTGAAGCAAAATGTGATGGGAAATCATTAGACAATTTTGAGGTGTGTAGTAGCATAATTAAAGAAACATTTTTAGGAATTGGACTTGTACAATCATTAGGCTAGTTTAAGTGAAAGAAAAGTCAAAATATTAAGGACATTTAGAAAGAAATGTTTGGTATTTTTGAGGTTTGAAATAATCTGAAGCAGAAAATTGAAGGAGACATGGCCAAAAGGGGGAATATGAGAAAAAGCAATGTTTGGGGTATAGTATATAAAAGAGGACAGGAACCAGATCTGCAGTCGCTTCAAGGTTGTGCCTCTTAGCCGTGGAAGAGTGAAGTTTGAAAATAGCAACTTGGTGTTATCATTGCTTTAGGGTAAGGAATAAGAACTGTAACTGACTCTCAGGTCCATCCCTAGAAAAGAGGCCAGTAAATGAAGTGGTAATGTTTTGTTGTAGAATGCTTTTGGAATATGGTTTCTCCTCTATTGTTGCCTAACAGGCAGGGGACGAAGGGATGTTTCATTAGGCTTATCAACATGTGTCGTTTCCATTAAAAAGTGTAGGTAATTTGGATGAGATAAAATATATTGATGTGGATTTAGAAATACTGAAATGATTAAGCAGAAGGAAAATTAGATGTATAAAGATGCTGCTTTTAGAAATTTGAGGGCTTTTGTTGGTTTGTTAGAATTGCTGTTTTTAGATGGCTTTCCTTTCTAAAACTTACCCTCAGGGCTACATTTTACTTCTGTTAATTCTGTAGGTCTGTTAATTCAATAGGTGACAGTTGTTGTAGGAAATAAGGGAAAATTCTTTTAACAGAAGATGTATAGAATGGAAAGTATATTGTTGACCTTTTAGATATGTTATACTCTCAGGTATTTTAGCCCATTAGACAAGAGGCAGAATCAAGAAAAGATACAAAGGACAGAGCAGTGTTTTTCAACAGAATTATTGTTCTGCTCTTTGGCTTTCTCTCTGTTATCTTATCCCCCCTCTCCTTTCCCAGTTGCCCAGAACATCGCCTTCTCCAACTTCCTGCAGGATTTAACACTTTCCCTTCAGTGTTACACACAGTGTAGAATAAAGAAGAATGGATGTGTAATCTAGGTAGCACAACCAGCACTTTTCAAGCACTTTTAACTGTATGTTCAGTACTACGCTTGGCTCTGGGCATACAAACATGAATGACACACAGTCCCTGTGGTGAGAAACTCAAGGAGAGCAGTCTAGTAGGAAAACATCTATTTTCATAGTGATACTTGAAGAGCTAGTTTTCCATTTAATAATCTTGACAAAAAATACTTCTGTATATAGTCAAAAATTAATGCTATCACAGCCTTTTTTCATAGACATTAAAACTGGTGTTTCAGAATTGCATGTTTTAATATATTTTAGAATTATTCTTAAAAAGAGCAAATAAAAGACCTGTTTTTTAGTATTGTTTTGTTTTAACTAGATTGACAGGACATCTTTTGGTAGTATATTTAACTAAATATAGCTTTATTTTAAATTATTCAAATTTTACGTTAATAAAAATTAATGTTATTAAAAGTGTCTTTTTAGTCCAGGCATGTTCCAATTCTTAACATTTTATTTAATCTTTAAGCTATATTACTTCTTCTTTCTATTCCCCTATTGAGTACTTTTGATCTTTTAAAAATTTTTTCTTTCCCAGCATTAAAACCCTGTTCCTCTGTAGAAAAACAATGTTTAAAAATCTATTAGCAAAATCCCTTTAGATGATAGCAAGATACATTTTTTTTTTCTTGCTTTTTTATTGTACCTTGTTAAACGGGTCTCACACATGAACTTTCTTAGAATCAGGCAGTTCCTGGTTCCTATGGGAGTTCCTGTTTTCTCAAATAAAAATAGAAAGGGACCTCAGAAAAGGAAACCTGGTGAGTGTGAAGTACTTTGTAGGCTCAGTCTTAGTTGTGACCTGGATTATAGAGATCCAGGTATCAAAGCTTTGAATATTTTCACATGTAATTTAAAAATAGATGATAAGGAGGATTTTCTAAATAACAATCATGAGAGATATTACATAAATCAGCCATAAACTTGTTTGTATCTTTTTTGGGGGGAGGGGGGTATAGGGAGGTTGGATAGAAAGTGGTAAGTCTTTTCCTTATAATATTTATTGGAAATCCAAAGTTGTTTAATACTGAGACTTAATTCTTAGCTACTTTGATCTGTATGTATATTTGTTTCTTGCCATTTTCCAGATGTTAGTAAGGATTAGGAAGGTTTTAAAAAATTACTAGAAGTCAGTATTCTAGATGAATTATTCATCTTTAAAGCATGTTGTAGATTCCACAAGTAGTAACTGCTTTTAGAAGTGTTTTGAAGAGAAACCAAGTTAAGGGGGAAAGAAACAATAGTCATTAACAGTAACAATAGTAGGTAACATGTATGTATTAAGTGTTTGAGACTATGCCAAACATTTTTTATTCACTTAATCTTCACAGCAACAATATATAAGGTAGGTGTCATTGTTACATCTTTCCTTTATAGAACAGGAAACTACAACAAAATAGATGTTAGTGGCAAAATAGATGTTAGTTCAGTGTCACGTTGCTAGTAAGTGATGGAGCTGGGACTTGAACCCAGCACCTCTATCAGAGCACCTGCTGTCAATTACTGCAGAGAATACCACAAGTTCAAAGTGAGAATGGTAAGTATAGTAAGTCTGCAAAAATACTTACCCAACTTTTATTATCATCAGTTTGTTTTACATTTTATTTGCATATTTATATTCAGTTTTCGCAGAGTACATGGCATTTCAGAGGACTTGTTTAGGGGGATTCTAATTCTCATTTTTAAATGATACTAATATATTTCTCTCTTTTTTTTTTTTTCCTTGATAGTAAAAAACCCCTTTGATGAAACATTTGGACAAATACAAGTAAGTAAATGATCATAATACTGATATTTTATATTATGTTTTATATGATAAAAGTATTCAGGTGACTATCAACTAAAAATAGCAGTTTTTTAAAAGTTCTGGCCCTGGCTGGGTAGCTCAGTTGGTTAGAGTGTCATCCTGATATGCCAAGGTTGCAGGGCACATATAAGAATCAACCAATGAATGCATAAATAAGTGGAACAACAAATCAGTGCTGTTCTCTCTCTTCCTCTCCCTCTCCCTTCCTCTCTCTAAAATCAATAAAAAGATAAAAAAGGCTGAAGCAGTAATTTTCTTATTTTGAGTATTATTTAATTGTAGTATAATTAAATCTGACACAGATTTTCCTCTAAGAACTGAAATGTTTATCACTTTAAGGTAAAAACCAACTGTCCAGTAAAATGGCAGTGGTATGTCATCTGAAGACCTGGCCTTACACTTAAAAGTATGCATGTTTTCATAAGTTGTTGGATACCCAAGTTGTTTTTCTCCTCTTTGACCTCATCCTGTCTCTCTTTGGACTTTTTCTCCTTGGCATGCCTGTTCAGCCATCAGAAAGGCAAAGGATTTAGAAAGAAACATATCCCTTAGGCTGCCTATTTATGATTCCTTTTCTTTTTTAAAGGACATAATGTTAATTTTAACCAGATTTTTACTCAAATGAAAATACTCTTTTTGCTTACCATCATTATAGACGCTTCAAAAATTAAGATATTTCATTCACAATTAGTTCTTAATTTTTTAATTGTGGGAATTGACAGTAACAGAACTGTGTAGAATATATTATTTATTGTGATGAAGGATGTGTAATAAGGTATGGTCAGATTCACACAATATTACTTTAGATTATTAGAGTGGGACTTTGTAATGATTATTTTTGGTAATATTCTATTGTGGTATTTGTTTTAAAAGAATTGACTTTATCAGTTACACTTTTAAGTACAACGTTCCTACTGGCATCATAACTTACATTCGTACAATGTACTCACTGTAGGTGGGAAATACAAGACTCTTTCTTCTTCTGTAGTTTTCCCCATGAGGGAAACTAACATTCCGAACTTCTAAATAATAGTAATAATGATAATGAGGATGATGGCAGTTTACTTTCATTACATACTTATTCTGTGCCAGGTACCATGCTAAATGATTAAAATCCATTATCATTTAATCAGAGACGTGATACAAACAATTGAAAATATTTTTGAGGATAGAGTAAAATATTTAAAGGTGACAGATACGAGAAAATTTGGTAGTCTTTCTACAGTTCGGTTTTTTTCTCCCAAGAGTAAGAACTTTGCTTCAGAGAATGTGTTATTATAAGAAAATCTGGACCTTACCAAACAGACAATTAGAAGGTAGCCATCTCAAATTATAAAACTATTTTTGTTTAATGAAAGGTTACTTGAAAGCTTTATTTATTTATTTTTGTTAATCCTCAGCCGAGGATATGTTTTCCATTGATTTTTATAGTGTGGAAGCGGGGAGGAGAGAAACCTCTGTGGAAGAGAGACATATCGATTGGTTGCCTCCCGCACGTGCCCTGACTGGGTTGGGAATTGAACCTGTGACCCTTTGGTGCGCCAGCTGACACTCTGTCCACACTGTCCAAGACTTATAAGCTTACTTTAAATATGGACTTATTGGTACATCTTTAACTTGTTTTTGGGGTGATTAGGAAAGCCACTAGACTGACACATTTCAAGTTCAATGTTAGGAGAGACAATCTGAAAAGCAGTCAGAATGGAAGAGGACTGTAATGAAACTACAAGCCAATATAAGTTTCTATAAAGAAAGTAACTTTAATATTTGATTTCCATACTTTTCGGATTTACTTCTAGTTTAGCATATTGGTGCTAAAGATACTTGAACCAAAGCCTTTTTTACATTAAGAACATAGTCCATTTGGATGCCACTTGAGACTTTTGTTATATATATAGATGTCATTTTGAATAAATTGTCATTGGAAAAATAGTTCATGAAAAAAGTTATAGTTGAGCTTTTTAGGTGCTTAAATTCTTTGTATGAGAATTTAACAGTATTTACATTTTCCAGTATGAGATCCATTTACATCTGATTTTGTTATTCTACTTATCTAGTCCAATGTTAATATCTGTTAATCAAAAGATGAAGTGTATTCCTAGGCCTCTGATACTCATTAAAGCTGTAGTCACAGAGGGCAAGTGTCAAATTTTTGGATTTAGTTTTATTTTCGAAAGGGGAGTGATGATGGATTTGATCAGGATATATATAAAACAAAAAGGAAATCAGTCACTTTTCCAGATAAGGGAGGAAAAAAACTACAAAACTCTCAGCTACTTTAATCTCAGAGCCTAATCAGATTTACCTTGGTTTTATGTGTCAAGTCCACAAGCTACACTATCATTGAATTCCTTCTCATTCTGTTATATTGAACATATTTGTTAAAACTGATTTTGTGGTTTAGTGTATCACAAATGCGTAGCTTTCAGAATCTTGGGTTTCAGCCCCTACAATTACTTTTTGATGTCTGATTTTTGCAGTTTGGGTTAATTAAGCTTATGCAAAGATAAGGACTGGCTTGATTCAGAATCTGGTTGAGATAAAGTTGAAGGGGAAGGAAAGCAAAAGGATTGGAAGGCAGGTAGTCATCTGAAGGAGTATCACTTGTCCCTATTAACCATCTCACATAAAACCAGGGATTGATAAGTTTTCTTTTTTATTTAGTGTCACTGGTTAAAGCTTCATTGACAAAAGCTTGCCACTTAGGGTCCAAACTTTTGTTATGTGTCTGAACATATAGCATGAAAATAAATGGATGAGGTTGCATGTTACTGAGCATATGATTATTTTTAAGCTTTTTATATCTTCTCTAAATTTGCTCTTGATCATAGTCATCCAGTAATCCTGTTTAGGAAGAAAGGAAATAATAAAAACAGAGCACCCTCATGAATCATGAATTTATTTCAAATAGTGTGATAAGCTGTGATTACCCCCTCTCCTAACCTACCTTTCTCTATTGCTTACATTAGTCTCTCTTAATTGTGATTGCTCTTAAATTGGGTGTCTCATTGCTTTAGACTAATTGGCAGGGTGCATAGACATTGCAATAGTCACCTCTCATACTGTCAGAGTAATAGTCCCGATGCACAGGTCTGTTTTACTTTCCTCTCCCTTAACTTTCAGAATGAGGTCAAACTCTTTGTCTTGGTATCTAGTGCTTTAGCTGTTTATTCCAAACTGCTTTTCCAGTAGGTTGCTGAGTCAAAGTAGGCTACTGCTTATGTAAGAAATATAACAATGCTTTTATGATGCCATGCCTTTGCTCATGCTGTTCCTTCTACTTGGAATGCTGGTCAATTCTATTCTTCCTGTGAAGCTCAACTCAAATATTCTGTCTTCCATAAATAGATCTTCCCTTCCCACCCTCTTCTGTGTTTACATTATATTTTGTTTGCAACTGTAATATAACACTTGATAGATTTTTTTGCCCTTGAGAACAGGAACCATCTTATTCCTGGATCTCTTGCTTTGCTGAGAACAGTCTTAACTCATAGTAGATACTCATTAAATGTTTGTTTTACTTTAATGGTTCATAAACTTATACAGGGCCACTTTGGGAGCCTAGGAGAGGTTGAAGGTCAAAGTGTCAGTACTCATTCCCCTATTATTATGTGGTTGAGTCAGATTAAACAAAACATGAAGGGCAGCTTGGAAGAAAAGTGTCTTAAGGACATCATACATATGCATGCTATTGTATGGGGGTGTGGAGGTTGAGAAGCATTGCTTGGGGGAGTTTGTTGTGTCTGAGACCTTTTTTAAAACTAACCTTAACCTTAGTGCCAATTTCCCAGTCATCATCAAGAAAATAAAATATTTAAAGTGATAATTTAGATTTTCAGGTTTAGATTTCTTTAAAATATGGTAGCCATTGTTTAAATATTAATTTGTCCTTTAGACTATGTGGCTTTTATGCTTCTAGATTTTAAATTTACTTATGTTTTTCTTTTTGAATAAGATTATTATTTGGTGTATGTATTTTCTTGGAATTTTATGTAGATATTTTATAATAATTTCTTTTAATTTTAGGAAAGTGAAAAAAATCTTATGATGAACACTTTATACAAGCTTCATGATCGATTGGCACAGCTTGCAGGTAATTATTTTAATAATCATAGTCTCTAAAAGTGTTTTGAAAATTAATTTGTATCTGTAGCATGCTGTAACAATAGAAATAGTTTTTCTCAAGTCCAGTTTGTGAAATATTTTCTCTTTAGAAGTTATTATTACCTATATGGAGTGGGTTTTATTTTTGTAGATATATTTAAACAGGTCTTTTTTCTGCCTATAACATGTATTAGATGAAATATATATCTGTATAATTCTAAAGTCACATTTCTTTTCTGCATTAATAGTAACTGCATTCTGAAAGCGTAAGTATCAGTTGAATTGGGTAAGCAATGAATTGACTAAAATCCTAGGTTAAATATAAAAATGCAGATTTTCCTTTACTAGTTGTGCAGGTGTCATAAAGTAAATATATTCTAGAATTTTTCCTCCTGATTCATTGCATTTTTCTTAGTAAGTCTTTGAGAGCTCTCAGGTATTATCATACTTGCAATTAGAATAATAATATAGGTGATTTGGTATCTAACTTAGCATACACTTAAAATTACCTTTTAATTTTTTAGTTATTCTTGTTATACAGATAATCCAAAAGACAAGACATTGGATTTTCTTCTTACAAACAATTACAAGAAAAGAAAAATGTATTTGTTAAAACTTTTGATGTAGCAGATCCTTTTGTGAAAAGCAGATCCTTTAGTGAAAACCAAATCTTTGGTAGAAGACTAGTAGGTAAATGGGGAACTTCTCTTACTGTATGGAGGCATTTCGAATCCAGTTCCCCATCCGTACTCACCAGTTTTTGGTTTTTTAGTTTGGGTCCTTAATTCTGGTCAGGTTTTTAGGCTCATAATTCTGTGTATATCACTAAAAGCCTTCTTTGCATTGACTAATGAACTGTCATATTGATACACTGCAAACTAATGACATTTATTTGGTATGCTGTAGTACCCAGACATAGTTTAAATACATACTTTAGCCAGAAATTCCTAATGTTGCTACCGCAAGCTTCTACAGCTGTCTCTATAGCATTGTTTTATGAAGTGTGCTAGGTCAGCATAATCTGAAGTGCTTTTTAAAAATATAGATTCCTTCCTCTAGAGCAGGGGTTGGCAAACTTTTCTGTGAAAGGGCCAGATAGTAGTACATTTTAGGCTTTGCGGGCTAGACTGTCTCTGTAGCAACTGCTCAATTTTGCCATTATAGCATGAAAGCAACCATAGATGATACATAAATGAGTGTGGCTGTGTTCCAATAAAACTTCATATTTGGTCTATGGGCTGTAGTTTGCTGACCCCTGCTGTAGATCTATGGCATCTGAATCTCTGACGATGCATTATAAAGTTTGAAGACTTACTTGTTCATCTAATAGGTACTTCTTCCCTTTTTACAACTACAAACACTAACGTCTGGCTACTTGAACAAACTATAAATAGGAACATGGTTTCTTTTATGATAAAAAAATTTGCCAAGGCTTTTATTTTACTTTAACTATAATGTTAAAGTCTTTTTAATTACTTGAAAGAAACGGTAGGAAAAACTTACATTTGAAGTTCAATGTGAGGATAGTTGATCTCTAATAACCACAGATAGCCTGGAAGAAAAGGTTTTGGAATCTCTTATAGTTGCAAGAAAAGGAAAATGTTCTTTTCTTTAGAAACTACATCATAGCCAGGAGCTTCTATCTAATTACCCTGTTGATGTGTTTTAATAATTTTTAAGGCATGTACACCACTTGCTTAAGATAGGCTTAGATATACTCTGAAAATGTTTGTTTTAATTAAAACTTATTTGAACACTTGAATTATTAGTATTAATGATAGATGTATATGTTAGCACAACAAATTTTCCAGCTTGAAAAATAATACATCTGTGGAGAGCCTTAAGTGTGCCAAGATAAGCATTAGTGCGACATGATTCCTATCCTTGCTAACAATTTAGTTGGGAATATAAGAGGAAGCTATGTTCTTATCTAGACTGAAATGCATGTTAAAGGTTGTGGTTTATGTAAAGATAATTGTTTATTTCTATTACTTGAATTTTTCCTAGGAAATATAAATGATGTTCATCTTTCTTTAGTGATTATAATATAGCTATAATTGCAACTTGTAAAATATTTTGATTACTATTTGTTTTCTTCCATTGAACACAGTACTGATTCAAAATTAATAATATGCTAATCTTTCCAGGAGATCATGAATGTGGCAGTTCTAGTCAGAGAACACTTTCTGTTCAAGAGGCAGCTGCATATTTAAAAGTAAGCAGTGAAATTATAATTTTAATAGCTGTATTCTTAAAGTTTATATAAATCATTACAACCTGTATCAAAAATACCATGCATTTGCCCTGGCTGGGTGGCTCAGTTGGTTGGAGTGTAGTCCTGTACACCAAAAGGTTGCAAGTTTGATTCCCTGTCAGGGCACATCCAGGTTGTGGCTTTGATTCCTGGTCAGGAGGCAACTGATCAGTGTTTCTGTCTCTCTCACATTAATGTTTCTCTTTCTCTCTCTCTGTGTCTCCCTCTTTCTCTCCCCCTCTCACTCCCCCCTCTCTCTTCCTCTTTCTCTAAAATTAATAAAAAAGCAAAACATCTTCGGGTGAGAATTAAAAAATAAAAATAAAAAATAAATGAAAGTACCATGCATTTGACTAATTACACTGTTAAAATCCTCGACCTGCTGTTTGGTATAATGTGAGCAGATAGGAAAATCAGAATTACTCAACATTTTTTGTTTTAGTTTGCTTCTCTGAGAGAATGCACATTAATTTGTAAAAGAAACAAACAACATTTGTGAGAGAGAAATTTATGTAGGCATGTAGCATGTAAGAAAGCAAGTATGCATCTAACTGTTGTCATTTATTTCAAAATCTGCCCCAGATTAATTTCATCTCTGTACTAAGAGAATTTGCAGATAAATTTTATAAACCGCTGTAAGTAATCTTTAGGAAATCCTAGATGAAAGGAAAGGTTAAGATGGACAGGTGTCATTCTAATTTCCAAAAAGAAAGTGGATTTTGAAAATCATGGAGGTAATCTTCAGTTCTATATCATTCCGTAAAGATGTGAGTACTTACAAATGGAAATGTTGACCCTTAGAAGCTGGTTCATTATGAACAAGTCATATCATATAAAAAAACACATAACATGACATCTATCCTATCAACACATTATTAAGTGTACAGTACAGTATTGCTAACTACATGCACATCATACTTGAACTTTTTCATCTCTCATGACTGAATCTCTATCCACATTGCACAGCAACTATTCATTTCCTCCTCTGTCCAGTCCCTGGCCACCACCATTTCACTTTGTGCTTCTGTGCGTTTGACTACAGTATATACCTCATATAAGTGGAATTCTACGGTATTTATCCTTCTGTGACTGGCTAACTTCACTTAGCATTAATGCCCTCAAGGTTCACCCATATTGTAACATGATAGGAGTTTTGTTTTTAAGGCTGAATACTCTGTGTGTGTGTGTGTGTGTGTGTGTGTGAGAGAGAGAGAGAGAGAGAGAGAGAGAGAGAGAGAGAGAGAGAGAGAGATAGGGAGAGAAACACACTTTCTTTATCCATTGATCTGTTAAGGAACATTTAGGTTGCTTCCCCTTCTTGGCTGTTGTGAATAATACCACAGTGAACACAGGGGTGCAAATATTTCTTAGATCCTCTTTTCAATTCTTTTGGATATATACCCAGAAGTGGGATTGCTGGATCATATGATGTTCTAGTTTTAATGATTTAAGGAACTTCTGTACTGATTTCCATAGTGGCTACACCATTTTACATTCCCATAAGTGTTCCCCTTCACATTCTTGAAAACACTTCTTTTTTAATAATGGTCATGCTAACAGTTGTAAGGTGATATCTCAATGTGATTTTGACTTGCATTTTCCTGACGATTAGTGATGTTTAGTGTCTTTTCATATACCTATTGCACATTTTTGTGTCTTCTTTAGAGAAATGTTTATTCAAGTTGTTGCCCGTTTTTAAATCATATCATTTGATTTTGTTGTTGTTGTTACTGAGTTGTAGGAGTTCTTTCTTTATTTTGGATATTAACTCTTACCAGATAATATGGTTTGCACATATTTTCTCCCATAAAATATGGGAGGGAGGGAGCCAGGAGGAAGGGGGGAGAAACATTGATGTGAGAGACACATTGATTGGTTGCCTCTCGCATGCACCCTGACCGGAGCCAGGGATAGTCCCACTTGTGTGTTTTTGCTTTTGTTGCTTGTGCTTTTGGTTTCATGTCCAGAAAATCATTGCCAAGACGAATGTCATGAAGTTTTGCCCTGTATTTTCTTTTAGGAGTTTTATAGTTTCATGTCTTTTTTTTAAGTCTTTAATTCATTTTGGGCTGATTTTTGTGTATAGTGTAACATAAGAATCCAATTTCACTCATTTATATGTGGAAATTTGGTTTTCTCAACACTATTTATTGAAGAGACTATCTTTTTCCTATTGTGTGTTCTTTGCACCCTTGTAAAAAATCACTTGATCTATGTGCATGAATTTCTTTATTTTCTTCCATTGGTGTATACCTGTCTTTATGCCAGTAACATACCGTTTTGATTACTGTAGCTTTGTCATATGTTTTGAAGTCAAGAGGTGTGAGGTCTCCAGTTTTTGTTGTTGTTGTTCTTGCTCAAAATTGTTGGACCATCCTTGCATTTCAGGAATAAATCCCACTTGCTCATGGTGTATCATCCTTTTAATGTGCTGTTGAATTCGGTTTGTTAGTATTTTGTTTAAAATTGTTTGCATTTATATTCCTCAGGGATATTGGTCTGTATTTCTTGTAGTGTCCTTGTTTGGCTTTGGTATCAGAGTAATGCTGGCCTCATAAAATGAATGTGGAGGTGTTCCCTCCTCTTAATTTTTTTCTTTTTTTTAAATCCTCACCCGTGGATATTTTTTCCATTTTTTTCAGAGAGGGAGGAGGAGAGAGAGAAAGAGAAAGAAACACCGATGTGACAGACACATTGATTGGTTGCCTCCCGCATGCACCCTACCAAGGCCAGGGGTCTAGCCTGCAACTGAGGTATGTGCCCTGGACTGGAATCGAACCCAAGACCCTTCAGTCTGCGGGCCAACACTCTAACCACTGAGCCAAACCAGCTAGGGTTCCTCTTAAAATTTTTGGAAGAATTTGAAAAGGATTAGTGTTAATTCTTATTAAATGATTGGTCGAATTCTCCAGTGAAGCCATTGAGTTCTGGACTTTTCTCTGTTAGATTTTTTTTATGACTGGTTCAATCTCCTTACTAGTTATAGGTTTGTTCAGAATTTATATTTCTTTGTAATTCAGTGTCAGTGGGTCCTATGTTTCTAAGAAATTATTCATTTTTTTAGGTTATCCAATTTGTTGCAAAATGACTGTGCATAGTAGTCTCTTCTGATCCTTTGTATTTCTGTGACATCAGTTGTAATATTCTCTTTCACTTCTGATTGTATTTGAATCTTCTATCTTTTTCTTAGTTAAGGGTTTGTCAATTTTGCTAATGTTTTTAAACCCTGCCCTCTCCCTTTTTGTTTATTTCTGCTCTAATCTTTATTTCCTTCTGCTAATATTTGGTTTAGTTTATTCTTTTCCTAGCTTCTTGAGATGCAAAATTGGGTTGTTTATTTGAGCTCTTTCTTTTTTAATGTAGGCATTTACCAATTTAAACTTCTGTTTCAGTACTGCTTTTCTTGTATGCCATAAGAGACTGTTGGGCTTCCTGAATCTGAATGTCCCTTTCTTTCCCCAGATTTGGGGAGTTTTCTGTCGTTATTTCTCCAGCTATGCTTTCTCCCCCTTTCTCTGTCCTCCTTTTGGGACTTCCATAATGCATATATTGGTCTTATTGATGATATCCCCTAAGTTATTTAAGCTTCTCTCACTCTTTATTTTTTTATTTATTTCTCTGACTGGATAATTTCAAATGATTTGTCTTGAAGCTCCTTAATTCTTTCTTCTGCTTGATTAAATTAAGTCTGCTGTTGAACCCATCTAGTGAAATTTTCGATTCAGTTGTTATATTTTCCAGCACCAAAATTTCCATTTAAAAAAAGTGATTTCTCTATTGACATTCTCATTTTATTCATGCGTTATTTTCTTGTGCTCATTGAGCATATTTATGACAGTGATTTTAAATTTTTTGGCAGATGATTCATATTCAGTTGTTTTAGGGTGAGTTTCTGGAGATTTGTTTTCCTTTAGTTGGCCCATATTTCCTTGTTTCCTTTGTGTGACTTGCTACTTTGGGTTGCAGTGTACACATTTGAGAATAGCCACATCTCCCAGTCTTTATGCAAGGGAAAACCTTCAACAGTAAACTCAGAGATTCTGGGGTCATTTCAAATCTTTTTTGTGGATGCATCTTCTTGTGGGTATAAATCTCCAACTAGAGGTTTTTGCAGGTTTCTTTTTTCAGGAGCTTGTAATTTCTGGTGTCTGCTGTACTGCAGGCCCTCTGGAGCAATAGCAAGCTGTCCAGTTCTTTTTTGTTCTCAGTGGCCTCCACCCATCTAGAGGGTGTCAGCTCTTGTCAGTGCTGTGAGACAGATGCTACAGATACCAGCCCCTTGGCAGCTCCCTAAGAAACGGAAACATTGGACATATGCTCCAACTCTTTCCCTTCTCAGGGAGGAGCCAGGAGTTTGAGGTTTTCACCCACTCATCCTATACTGAGCTGTGGGGAGGGGCAATGATGAGTGCCTATGTGCTAGTTCAAACCATTGCCTTTTTCTTGGTGGCTCCCAACTTTGTGCCCTTACCTATCAATGCCTAGATTCAAGCAAGACTGAAACCAATCCCCCTGGTAGCCCCCGAAAAGTCTGAACATTAGACATATGGTCCAACCTTCTCTTTCCATCCTCAAGGAGAATCCAGGAGTTGGGAATTTTCTCCTGACTGCACCATGCTGTGCCAAGAAAAGGGGCTCTGGTGAGTGAATGCTATAAATTTTCCTGCTGGCTTCTATGCAGCTAGTTTCTGTTGGGGGTCTGTTTGGATGCAGGAGACTCTTGACTGGTTTTTGGATTTATTTATTTAAAAGGAAATTGATCTGTGTATTATTGAATTTCTATCTCCTGGGGGAAGGAGGGTCTGGGGTTCCTATTCTATCGTCTTGCTGATGTCATCCCATTTAAAAAATTAAGAACTATAGTTCCTAAGGCTTCCATCAAAATTTTGTTGACAATCTCTTGATATGCTTGCCAAAAAAGAGAAGGACTCAAATTTTAATTTAATTAATGACTTACATGT